TTGGTCTTTTTCATACAGGGTCTCACTGTGCAGTTCAGGCTGGCCTTGAGTTCACTTTGTAACCCAAGCTGGTCTCGAACTCACAAGGATCCTCCTGCCTCAGCCTCCCGAGTGCTGGTATTGCAGGCGTGTGCCACCATGCCTGGCTCTTTCCTTATTCTTATGGATTTACTATCTGGAGTTATTTCCTTAGCCAAATACAGCTTTGTTTGGAGTACCTCTTTTGGACAGTTATTGGCAAATATATTACTTTTCTGTATGTTATAGACTTAACAGTATAAGCAGAATATTCTTAAAAGTTGCTTTTAAAATCAGTTATACAATTTATATCTTTATTTTCATATGATCATCTGCAGACTTACTGTTTTGAGCTACTATTTTTTTTAGTTACCTAAGACAAAAAAGGCTGGGTGTGGTGGTGCACATTTTTAACTCCAGCACTCTGGGAGGCTTAGGCAGGAGGACTGCAAGTGTGAGTCCTGCCTGGATAACTTAGTGAGAGATCCTTACTCAAAATAAAAAGTAAAAGTAACTGTAGAGGCAATGGCCCTGGATTCAATACCCAGTCCCACAGAAAATGCTGCAATCTAAAATACATTCACGATATATTTTTTTATTGATCTATTCCTATATAATCTTTTTTGACTAGATATCATTCTCATACTTCAGTTCTGAGAAGAACTTTTGAAAGGTTTTCTTAATTAAACTCAGTGTCTGCACTGTCTAGGTTAGTTTCTACTGACTTCTATTTCTGTGTTTGGGCCTCACTTTCCTATTTCTTTAGATGTTGTGTAATTTGTTGAAAACTAGCTATTTTAACAATATAACAAATCTAGTATTTATATTTGTCTCTTTCCCAGAGTGTGTTGTTGTGTTTGTTTTTCTCTTTGCTTGTTGAATTTCTTTTTTCTTTTTTTTTTTTTTGAGACAGGGTCTCACTCTACAGTTCAGTCTGGTATTGAGCTCACTTTGTAGTCCAGGCTGGCCTCAAACTCACAATGATTCTCCTGCCTCAGCCTCCCCAGTGCTGGGATTATAGGTGTGCACCTCCAAGCCTATATGGTTTAAATGAAGGGAAACTTGCAGCCTATGTATTATTTCAGATTTTTTTTTTTTTTTTTTTGGTATGAGGAATCGAACTCAGGACCTCGCACTTGCCAGGCAGGTGCCATGCCACTGAGCTATATCCTCGACTGGTAATTTGTTGAATTTCTTAGAGTCTATTCTGTGATACATGTGTCATCCACTCAGTTTGCTTAGAGTTCATCTAGTGAGTACACTGTTTCCCTTAAATGCCCTCTACCCGCCTATCTCTCTAGTGCTTCCAAAGATTCTGTGTGTTTGAGGAGCACATGGTCAGTGTTCCTGGCAGCTGTTTACAACCTTAACATAATTTCTTTGCCTCGCTTCCACAGTCTTAAAGTCAGCCAAAGGTGACATTATTTCCTTATTGATTTCCTCTGGGTGTGTATAGAGTTCTGAACATATTTTACCTCAGGTATTTTTCCTTCTGGATTTCCAGGACTATGTCAACACTTTTAACCCTTACGGATATATCCAACTTTTCCTTTTCAGAGATTTCAGTCAGGTTCTTACACACCCAGCTGCTATTACTGCTTTATTCGGGTGTTAATAGCTGTCGCTGATTCTTTTCAAAAGCTGCTCTTTCCCATTCATGGCGCCCGGAGTCAGGTAAAATATCGCGCGATCTCTGCCAGTGGGCTTCAAGGGAACTTCAAGACCGGCCAGTTAGCGACAATTTTTTGAGGATAATTGCATATTTTGAAATTCTGATACTTCAGAAATACTACAAAAAGGTTGTTTAACCACTTCCTTGGCCTTCTTTCCAGGGTACATTCCAGACAACGCATGTCCTAATTATAGTGTCTTTTCTAAACTAGATTAGCTGAAAGTTTGTCAAATCATCAAGTCCTGGTTGGGGCTGGGGGTTTAGCTCAGCGGCAAAGCGCCTGCCTGGCAAGCACAAGGTCGTGAGTTCGGTTTCCGGTACCGGAGAAAAAACAAAAACAAAAACATCAAGTCCTGGTTCTTTTTTGCTTAAAAAATTCTTCCTCAATATTTTTCATTGTTATAACATTGTACTAAAGAAATAGACCAGCCGGGGTTGGTGGTGCACACCTGTAATCCCAGCACTTGGGAGGCTGAAGCAGAAGGATCATAGTGAGTTCCACACCAGCCTGGGCTAGTGAGCTCAAGGCCAGCCTGAACTGCATAGCGAGACCCTGTCTCAAAAGGACGATTAATTAATTAATTAATTAATTAAAAAAATAAAGAAATAGATCAGGCCACAACTGCAACACTTTGCTTAGAAATTTCAACTAGAATCTAAGTACATGCTTGTAAATTCCTTTCTCCAAATAAATGTAGGACACAATTAAACTCAGTATTCTGTCAGTATATACCACAATTACCTTTCTTCGTGTTTCCAATAACATTTTCATTATTTTCTTCTGAGTTGTCACAAACAATAATGTTAAAATCACATTTCTACTAATGGTTTCCTGAAATAATAATCCAGGCATTTTCTACTGTTCTTTTCAAAATTCTGTCAGCCTCCACCTCTCAATTTTAAAGTCATAGCATACTTTTAGGCTATTAGTACAGAAACCTCTCACTCGCTGGGACCAAAATCTATATAGATTTTGTATTTCTGCAAGAACAAACCGCTATACACTTAGTGATACAAATTCCGCACACTTATTATATTATAGTTATAAAAGTCAGAAATCTAAATTTTATTAGTTGTATTTATCCTGAAGGGTTTTAGAAAAAAAATTTTTGTTCGCCTTTTTCAGTATAAGGCAGTCCACATTCTTTGGCTTCCTTAACCTTGTGTAGTATTCATTCTGTTTTTTTGTTTTTGTTATTTTTGGTACTGGGAATTGAACTCAGGACCCTGAGCTTGCCACGCAGGTGCTTGTGCCTCTGAGCTCTATCCTCGGCCCTGTAGTGTTCTTTCTTCTTTTATTTTCTACCTTACCTCCTAAAAGGACATGCTTGATTCTGTGAATCCCACACAGAAAATACAGAATAACCCCCATCACAAGATCTTTGCTTAATTATACTTTCAGAATTCCTTTGACACATAAGGAAATATAATTACAGCTTTTGTGTATTATCAGATGTACTTCTTTGGTGAACATTATTCTGTCCGTTACCTTATAACTACTGTATTCCAAGGCTTCTGAGGAGGAGGAGAGAAGGGATAAGAATAAGGCAACTTGAATTCTACAAAGCACACTCTTCTGACTGAGATGTCTGTTTTTTTGGTAGAATAATGCACTTCAAATTGCTGTAAATCTTTATTGTCAGGATTCTGAAAAAGTTGATTCTCGCATTTATTCACCAGTGTTCTGAAAGCTTTTGTTGAGAAGCAGACAACCAGGGACCCTCACTCTAAATTAATGGGTGTGCGTGCTTGCATATGTATGTGCGTGTGCATGTGTGCATGTGTGTGTGTGTAAATTAATCAACATGTATGGAGAGACTCTTGGAATTCAGAACACATCAAAATATGCCATCTATGTGCCTTGGTAAATACACAAATATGTTTTACATATGACAAATATACTTTTAAACATCTCTACCTACAAATTAATTCTTATAGATTACAATAAGCATATTGTTTTTATAAATTACTAATATATACTAATGTTTTTAATGCTTGTCAGTTTGTACACATTTATTGGATTCTACCTACACACTATCAACTAAAAAGTTATAATGTAATCATGTTGAATAAACTAAAGATCTTTCACGTGTCCCCCAAAAATCTCCACTGAAATTGATGCCCTCTTCATGCTTATCTTGTTTGATAAAGAATGTATTATTTCTAGCAGATCTAAAATATAAACACTGTGTTTGTTTTGTTTTTTTTTTCTTTTTTTTTTTTCTTCAGGCACCAGGAATCAAACTCACGACCTTGCGCTTGCTGCTGAGCTAAATCTCCAGCCCCATCAACACTTTTTTGAAGACTGTCACAATTTAGACACTTCCTATGTCACAGGACTTCAAAGAATAGGAATAGTTGCTCAGTTATATAAAGTACTTCTTCTGTGCTCTCTGAGAAAATAATCATGTTATCACTGGCTTTAATCAAACAAGTTTATTAATCCTGGAAGAAAATTCTGTCTTATTCTATGAGCTCACATACATAGAAACAGCATATCTTCAGAAAGAATTTGCAGTTGGTTGAATGTGGTAATTAATAGTCCACTCCTAGTTCTTTTTTTTTTGTCTTTTTCAGACAGGGTCTCACTATGCAGTTGAGGCTGGCCTTGAGTTCACTTTGCAGCCTAGACTGGTCTCGAACTTGCAATAATCCTCCTGCCTCAGCCTCCCGAGTGCTGGGATTACAGGTGTGCGCCACCATGTCCAGCTAGTTCAACTTTCATCTCAGTTTTATAAAGCAATTATATGAACCTCAGAGATGGAATGTTGTCCCTTTGATACCTTAATGGAAGCTTAGAAAGAAACCCCACGTATCCCAAGGAGGAATAGCAAGAGCAGTTGTGAAGGATCATGGAGTGAAGGGGGCGGGGACAGGTAGAGAAAATGTGACAGGGTACACAAAGTATTTTAGACACTTTGCTAATTATAACTCAGAGAAGCAGATGAGGTGAGAGGCTTTATTACTCTATACATATGGTATATAAATGCAATGGTGGCATTTATTTCTGTTATCTGTATAGAGATATATAAATATGTTTCTTGCCTGTATGAGATGTTCAGAGATTTATACTAAACTTATAAATCAAGCAAATCTGTACAAAAGGAAAGATTTTCTCTCACATGAGACTGACAGCAATGAATGATCAGTAAACGTATAGCCCCTTTGCCTGAAGATCATAGTTTTCTGGTAGAATTACAAAATCTCCATGTTTTTGGTCAGGAAGAGGACCTCAGATATAAACACAAGGAATCATCACCTGCTGACACCAGGATTTGGAACACAGCAGGACCGAGTACAAAACGATTACCTTAAAAATCGATGAGAAGAGGCGTGGTCATCTACCTGGCTGACATTACAACTTCTCTCGTAGTTCCTCCTAGGAAGTGTCTAAGATGTCTGGGCAGATCCAAGCAGCTACACAGTAAACATTCTATTCAGAACCCTGCAGGCAGTTAGTTCTATGACTACTTGCTTGTAATTTTATAGAAAGCTGCTAACTTTTCTGGTGACCCGGAACTGTAGGCAGAGGCTCGAGGACTAGCGCCAAATACTACGTATGCCAAAGATAAGTAAATGACCAAGCTGCGGCCGTCTCCCATGAACAGACCGATTTCTGATTAACATACTGTTTTCTTACTGCTCTTTGTTGAATAATGAAACAATTGAAAACATTACATTGTGGGCCGCAGGACAGCCGCAGAGCACTGCTTGTGTCCTCTGAAGTAGCAGTTTCCTTTTCTTCCTGTGTGGGAGGATGCTACTGAGAAGTCCCCCTTTCTGTCATATGAAAACAACTAAATGGAGTGTCAATTAGAACAACGTATTTTGTAACAGGCTTTGGGCAAAGGAAAAGGCGAAGACTTTAGTACCTAAACATGAGAGCCAAGAAATTCAAAGCAGAAGAGCAACATTAAATACATGAGGACTGGGGAAAATCCAGGACAGAGCTTCCCTCTGATCTGAGCTGGTCTGTCAACCTCAGCTGTGCATAGTACAATAGACTTGGACATCCGCAGTCTCTCCCGCCAAACCAAAGGATTTGGACTTCTATGAAGAGATGTGTGCATTAAAGGTAATCTCCATCCAGCCCGTGATGTCAGGACAGCTTCTGTAGGATGTTTCCTGTGCAGAGGGACAGATTTAGCACTTTATAGCATCAGCTCTTCAGATGAGATAAAAGCCCACTGACATCAATAAAGGGAAATAGCCCTGGACAGAGGATGCTGTTTTGTGAACGATGGGCTTAGCCTGCCCAAAAGGAAGGCCAGCTTCTCCATGGAGAAGAGAAACAGGCTAAACAGGTCACAGTAAACAGGAGTTTTATAAGCCCTTCACCTGATGAGCATGCTGAAAATCCCTCCTGTAGTGAGACTAAAAAGAGAAAATAAACATTCCACAACTGTGTTCTACTGACTGACAGTAGCTTTCATGATAGGTTGTAAAATACTGACAGAAATGAGTGATTAAAAGAGATTTTAATTGATGGTCTCACTAGAGTATATCCAGAGTTTTGTAAAATAGACACATTCCCTCACATTTCTTCATCCAACTCTGCTCTCTTAATTTTTATTTCTTTCAATCACTGAAAAGAATATGCCATGTTTTCTACATTTACCACAGTTATGAGGTTATACAGATATCTCAAAAACTGCAATTGTAAGAGATTAATCTTTGTACTATGAGCTTTATCATTGAGATATTATCGCCTCAGTTTTCTAATCTGAATATGGTATGCTTAGGGTTTTTGCTAGTTATAAAATTCTGTGTCTTAGATGTATTCTTAAATACTCTTCTTTGAAGACTGAAGGGATTTCAAATGTTTGTGGCTTGACATGTAGAAATCAAGCTGAATTCAAGTTAGGTGTTCAAAATTTAGAACAAACTTTTAAGCAAACTAAAATTTGGAAAACCAAAAGTAGCTAGAAAAACCAGACCATTTTGAGTTTATTTTTTAAAAAACTCAAAAATCAGTAATTATTATGTCAATCACATATAAAACCTGAAATTTATCACAGTAGCATGACAGCAGCAGTAGTCTGAGAGAACACCTATATCCTGGATGTAGAATAGACTAGATTAGAGATATCCAATATTAAGAATTAAGACTTAGTTCCCTCCCCCAAATGATCTGCCACTTGGTACACTATCTGCACCGTCTTAAATTCAGAGAATTTTATGTAAGTTGAGGTTATCTGTCCAAGCAAAGGGGAGAATCAGCGGAACATGAGCCATGCAACTAGAAAAAATGGTGGGAAGGAAGCTGCCTTTGCCCGGGGTCATGATGGGCAGCAAGATGGCGTCTGCCAGCCGGGTCATCCAGGCAGTCAAACCACACACACCATTGATAAAGTTCCCCGACAGAAGAGACAATCCTAAACCCAGTGTATCGGAAGCTTTGGGATCAGCAGGGATGCCCTCTCACTCTGCTGTAATTTCACCGCATTCTAAGGGGAGTAAATCACTGGAGTTGCTGATGCATCCAGGTCCACCAGACATTGCAGAAGTAACAAACGCGCTACCTCAGAAGCATAGAAGGAAACTACTATCTCAAGAGGAAACGGAGTTTATCCAACGTGGAGGTTCAGAGTAATGATTGTGGCTGCCGTTTGTCATCAGACAAAAGAATTGTCTTTATAATGAAGGACTTGCAAAATGACATATGAAAAGTTGTATATTAAATAACCTTAATAAATTTCTGCAAAAACAAAAAAAAAAGAAATATAGAAAATTTAGATGGATACCTGGATCTTCTAATTTATGTGTCTTGGTCAGCTTCTCCATAAGCTTACCTAGTTGTTTATATAGTTTATACTTTTTAAAGCATACATTTGGAAGTACAAAAAAAAATGATGGGAAGCATGCTTATATAATCCTAAACAAATACAAAATGAGGGGATGGTTACTCTAATTCTAAAGGTAAGAAATCCGAAGTTTAGAGATGCTTCATCAAGTCTATTGTTTATATTCACACAGATACAAAGATTAGGAGACTGAAATTAAATTTTGGCTCTCTTTGGATTTAAAAGTAAAAAAGTACTTTTACCTGTTTCTTATATCTGATGATATGGTTGACTTTAATAAGCTACCATTAACATTTTCATAAGGATGGATGAAATCAGTTCTTTCTTTGAGACTCTATTAGGTTGATTTCACTAATAATTTTTCAAAATGTCAATGTCTACACAACCTGCAAGCAAAATAACAGGGTTTTAACCTACACAGTAAAACAGAAGAAGTTACAAATGAAGAAGGAATGAAAAGTGAATAACCCTTTAGAAAACCTGGCATGGGAAAGGTACATTGCTTTGAACTTTGACACACCGTGGGATTGGGCAATTCCAGTTGACAGAAAACACTCTCTGATCACTTGGCAGCCTTCCATAAAATGTTCTTATACAGTTTTACTGCTTGAGAAAATCTACATTATATTATATCCTGGGACAATGTATAGTTTGACAATGAGTCATAAGAATTAATTCTTTTTCTTAAAGATATGATCGCTTCTATAACGCATACTTGTATCTTCAGCAAGATAGGAAAAAGCACATATTTCAATTTCTTGATATACACTTTGCAAACTTCAAATCCTAATGTTCTCCTGTGTTTATGAAATAAATGATAAATATTGATCACAAAACATCCACTACAGTAAAACTAAAGCATTAGCACCCCCAGTATGAGTGTCGACCTGCCTGTAAACATTTTACATGTTTCTATTTACAAAGAGAGGAAGATCAAATGTCATTGTTATCTTAAATTTTAACTTACAACTTCTCATAAGAAAAACTTAGCCACAATATACGAACTCCTTAGTGTTTTAATAGATATTCCTTTACCTATATTATGTACTACTGCTCTATAGCTGGTACTTATTAAAAATTCAACATCATGTACCTTAACTCATATTATAATTGCAATTTGTTGAGTGTATGGAAAAAGTACCACTGGAAAAATGAAAACAAAGCAAAAATCCTTCATTATTTCTTTAGAATCTTTAACTTTTCAAATAGTGGGAGATAAGTATGTCATAATCACAGATGCTAAAAGTAAACAAAGCCATATTTTTATACTACTCATTATTATGTCTATAAAACTACAGATTTTTTGTGAGAAAAAAATGAAAAGGAAAAAATTAAAAGTACCTTTCTTAAAAAATTTAAAAAAGTAAAAATTGGTGATGTAGAATTTTACATTTCACCTTGAAACAAATTTTGCACAAATATGTATAAATTTTACATATTTATTTTATTTTATTGGTTCCAGGAATCGAACTCAGGGCCTTATGCTTGCCAGGCAGGTGCTATGCCACTAAGCTGTATCCCCAGACCCAAACTTTATATATCTAAAAAGAGTAACAATATTGTATAATTTTGGCCTCTTATACTTTATAATCTCAAAAATACAACCTATAGAATAAAATAATTTTTAAAATTCAGAACTCAAGTTAGTAATAAAAAGTGTTCATTTCCAGAGAAAACTTATTTAGAAAAACTTAATCCAAGTGAAACATTTTACATTTCTAACAATGTATATTGTAATCTACTTTAAAGAAATTGGTGATAATTGTATATAATTCAATATAAATCCATGACTCTGCTTGTACAAACTACTTTCTAGTGTCCTCAAATGGGAAACAACCTGGCAAATAGATAAAGATACTTTTAGCAGATATATCCTGCAAGTCAGAAGAGTTTTCATGACACTCTTACATCTAAAATGAAGACTCTGCAGTTCATAAATGTGTCAGTTGCCCTAATTGGCGTCCTACGTCGGTTCTTGCACCTGGAGAGCACTAAAGCGGAGGAGCCATCTGGTTACACCGGTCCAACTCGGAGGAATGCTCTATTGGGAAGCAGGCATCCAGGCTGCTCTTCGGCATCCTGCTTCCAACACTACAGGATCCCTGAGAAGAGCTGGTAATCCTCAGACCACGGAGGACTTACTGTACAGGGCCTAGCTGAGCTCCCAAGAAAAACTTGTTGGCACAAACAACAGTCTTCAAAAACAATTCCCATCCAAATTCAAATAGGTCACTCTCTCCGGAAATGTACTATAGTGAACTCCTTTATGTGGTTTTACAGTATTCTTAAGGTACTCAGACACTGTGAACAAAGAAACTGAAATGGTAGAAGTCAGATAAGTGATCAAAACTCGAAAAATGATTTCTAAACAAATGGGAGTAAGTTTTGTTTCCTTCTAAATTAGTGTCTCTATCATAAGGACAGATGTCCACTATAATATTTACCACTGGACTCCTAATTTTCAGAAATAAGTTGCTGATAAAGTTCACTATTTAATTATTCTGAAGAAACAATTGTAAATAATCAGTGTCATCCAACATTGTACAGAGTGCTGCAAATATTTTTGGTTGATACAACTTTACTTGTGTAAATCTCTTCTCTTTT